ATGAAGTTAGATAGAGTGAAGTTCGGTGGCCAACGGGACAATTTTGGAAGTTCGGTGAGTAAACCGTGATATAAAACAAAGTTCGGTGAGTAATCCGTGACATATAGCAAAGTTCAGTGGGTAATCCGCGACATGGAGCAAAGTTCGGTGAGTAATCCGTGACATGGAGCAAAGTTCGGTGAGTAATCCACTTGCACACATGGCATTGACGTGGAATTTAACGTGCCACGTCATCTTTCCATCAGCCACGTGGACAATGTTATTAACGATTTTTTTGATCCAGTGGCCAACGGAGTGGGACGGTTTAAAGTTGAGTGGCCAGTGGGATAAGTTTTAAAGGTGAGTGGGTAAACCGTGACATGTATGAAAGTTCAGTGGCTAATGACACAATTAACTCAGAATTACTACTCATACAAGCCATACCATAGAAAAGCTATCCCTAATTAGTGGCGGAACAGTCCACTCACTGGTCTCCTGCCATTGAATTAAAATTCAATACTGAGAAATTTCTTATTATATAATTCGAATCAACAAAAAGTAATTAATTTTACCATCTCTTTGCAGAGGGGGCCGGCGCAGTGAGGGCATCTCATGCTTTCAATATCGCTTCGCCTTATTCTCACGTATGTACTGTGTACATATGATGCACTCGAACTATTTTAGAGCGAGAGAGGGGGGCGAGGTAGAGAGAGAAACTGGTTGAAGAGGATGAACAAAAATGGGCCGATGGCCCAATGAAGCCCAGCTCGTTATTTAAAGAGCAAAGAGAATCAGCCCATAAAGGATGGAAGCTGATCTGAATCGGAAATTTAAAGAAATAGCACTAAAAGGGCACAATGACGGTAATTACTTTACATGTTCTAGATGCCAAAGAGGCAAGGCAAATTGCAACCATTACCCTTCAACTTATACCTTCTTTTACACTTTTATCCCCAATTATTTCTTCTTGGCATTAATCATGTTAGCCTTTCATTTTTATTTTTTTACAAATGATCCCTACTAACAATTTCGTCCAATATGATTGTTGAGTTGGTTAGAAATATTTTACTCTCGACCTTGAATTATCTAAAAATGGAAAAGAAAAAGAGCAAGAAAAGAGTATTCCTTTTTTCAACTTCCCCTGAGTTTCATTGTTGTTGCTATTGTCCTCATCCTATCCCAATTTTCAATCTCCATTCCTACAGAGATAGAGTTCAACCTTATTGACTCTCATATTTCATTTCTGTATCTACATATGCGGTATGCCTACAACCACCAACCATCCTTAAAATTTCAAAATCATATCCTTCTTCTTCTTCTTCTTTTTT